GTCCACTGAGCAGCGGCTGAATGAACGTCCATTTGGGCCATGGATCTCTTCCTGGCAGTGCAGTCCATTTGAAGCTTAACTGAACGTTTTACCTCTTTCAAGGCCGGTCAGCTCGCGGTGAAACAGCCGCATGCGGCTGGTGATTGTACGGCAAGCCATGTTTCCATATAATTGGATCGTGTCTGATCCGCTGACGCAATCAAAAGCCCGACCTGGCCCGCCCATCCAGCGCATTATTATGGCCTGGCCCGCCCTGAATTCGGGTCGGTCGGGGCCAGGCTTCGGGCGCGGGTTAGAAATGACAGTTCTACTCTGGACAGCCTTTTCCAACAGACTGTACTTGTTCAGTCATTTTTTAATAGTTCTGTTTTATCAACAAAGTCCATGCTCAATAATCCAGGTGTACAATCCAACAATTTTCATTCAGGTCATCTGGACAGTTTCTTTCTTTCTTTCTTTCTTTTTGTGCTGAAACGTTTCACCTTCCATCCAGAAGGCTTGACCTGACTGAAAAATGTTGGATTGTATACCTGGATTATTGAGCATGAACTTTGTTGTTTTGAACCAGTTTGACATGACTGTCAACGAGGAAGAGGGCCGGCACCGGAGAAGGGGGCGTGCCAAAGACACCATCTTAGCACCAGCACAACTGGTTTGTTCCACTTTAAAGTAAGCTGTTTGGGGGAAGAATCAGTTTTGTTTCGTGTTTCCTTGACTGATGAAGCCTTCTGGATGGTGAAACGTTTCAGCACAAAAAATAAATAAAAAAAAACTGTCCAGATGACCTGACTGAAAATTGTTGGAGTTCTTTTTTATATTTTATTATTTTCACGTCTTAAAAGAGGCTTGTAGCGTCTGACATGAAGCTGTTGGTCTTTTTTATTTTAGCTTTCTGATCACAGATGGACGTGATGCAAAGATTAAGACTACCAGTTCTTTGAAGTACTGGAGTTATTCATTTATTTTAATTCTGCTCTGAGTTTTTCTTGAACCAACCGTTAGTTTGTCCGTCTGGTCAAAATGAAACTTCATTTCCCAGTTTGAGGTCGTCCAAAACGCCATCTACGCCAGGTAAGATATTAATTGTTCATAACCTTTCCACAGAATCTACTTCAAAAGATCTGAACTCCCGTTAGTCATTCATATCTAAGTACCGGCTTGTGTCTAATAACCAAGAGGGGTCCGGCTCAGGTGCAAGGCAGCACTTATCCAACAGAAACTCTTTTTTCCTCCACACATCAGCCTGTCAGTACTTCCCTTCCATTAGAAGCCAGGTGACCACACACACATTCCCATGAACGCACGCACGCAGGCAGACAACTGGCCACGCGAAGTGATTTAAGGCGAGTATTATCAGAGTGTTATAGGTCATCGTCTAAATGAAGCGTGGTCGAACAGCGGCGGTCTCATTTCCACCGCCTGACCTTTTCTTGCTAGATGCTGGCAGGATGAGCGAGCTACAACGCTGACATTAATGACCCGCTCTCCTTCTTCGACCGGGACTGTCATTTTATCACTCCTCTGCCGCGTTTCCATCCATTTGTTCAGCAAATTCTTAGGTGAGCGATAAATTAAACGGTCCCCGTCCAAGGAATGCGACGACGCTGAGGAAGTAGTTTTGACAGATGAAAGTCACGTTCGGGAATATAAGCCTGGATTATGGACGGGAAATCAAATTTATTTATTGTTTAAAAATTTAGTTTCCTCAAATAATTGGATCAAAAATAAGCTCTTTTTTTTTACTTCCATTTTTCTTTGTGGCTGCATCTAGGAAACGTAATAGGGATGCATGATCCACTTTTTTCACTTACGATACCCGATGTTTGGTATCGATGTCTGATGTTTGGTATCGATGTCTGCCAATCCGATGCCGGGGGGGGGGGGGGGGG